TGAGCAGGCAGAGAAGATGTCCCTGGAAACCCCCAGTGCAACCCTCCAAGTTGCGACCACTGTCGGCATCGTGGCAACTAAAATTTTGGTACTGGAGACTTGATTTGCAAAATGGTCGACAACTTGGCAACCACAGAAAATTGATGCTTGAAGAAACGAAAAAGATATTAATTCAATACACACTGAAATGGTCCTCTGCTGATATCCCAGAGGGAGAAGATTAGAAGATCTCGTTGATGTTCATTCAAATGAATGCTTACTTCGCTAAGATTTCTCCTAAAATATTTTTTCTGCTCCACTGAGCACAAGTCAGTTGCCTAGCACATTACATTTTTTAACCTTGTAACACGTGACAATCAGCACTCAATCGATTTTTTTTTCATAATTTTGTCTCGCAAACCGCATGTGTGGCTACAAAATTACAAGTCGGGTTGGAGCGTTTTAAAGTAAATTTGAGTAACATGAAATGTTAAAAAAAAAAAATTTTTATATATATTCAAACACAACCATTGCAGACTAACATCAACATCAGACGAATCTAAACTTTGCAAAAAACAATAATGTTTTAACCGTCTACCAAAATAAAGCAAAAGGCATTTATTGCAATCTCACAAGCCGTATTTTTTGTTTGCCTTTTCTGGCTGATAGAAAACTACAGGGTCGATTTATAGATCACACTGTCCTTTCCGGCTGCGTTGTTGAGACAATTATTTTAGTTTTATAGGACAGTTGTAAATAATTTCTCAATATGCGGTTTCATTAGTAAAATACTGAAAGAACACCAGCTTTAAGCCAGTTTTAGCACAACATTTTCTTTTTTTTTGTACTTCCTGGTACTTTTCCCCAGTTTTAAAAAGAATGTTTGTGGGAAAATATGAGACATTATTACTGTGCATGTACTTACGCAATTTTCAAGTGCATGATTTCAAACGTTTGCCTGGACAATACCATTCTTAAGTGCAAATTAATTATTAACCAGTTATTAAAACTTTAATTAGTAATTAAAGTTTTAATAATTGGTTAATAATTAATAATTATTATTAATATATATTTTGGTGGCTATACCGAAAGAGTTGGTTTCCAAGTGGCCACCAAAGGAAAAATTTAACTTGGAGGGTTGCCAGTGTTCAATTTAGAAATTAGTCAAAGTGGGTCATATGTCCCACATGGCATTTTAAATTGGCTCATTTTAAAAATAGTTATAATATTGAAACTTTTAACAACAGACATCATCAAAAGTATCACCAGTAAATTATAGTTAAATACAGGGTTCTCATTAAGTTTTGAAGTAGATGGCTAGGATGTAAAAGTAGGCGGTGATTTGTGGCTTTCACTTTCAGACCTTTCTCTAGTTCCCTGAAAAGTAGGGGGCTCAAAATTCGAAGTAGCCAGTTTTTTAGCCAGCTGCTGGCGCTTTATGAAAACCCTGTAAATATGCTTTTCACAGTTTTGACTCCTTTATTGCAGTAAACAGGGTCTAAATAGTCAAATACTGATAACATCAACATGGAGGCTGGTACTGCAGGTGGTACAGCTGTATGAATTGGCTTTTGGGTTAATTTTTGCTGAGTATGTGCCGCTGGCCTCTCAGAGCCCCTACCCCATTATAGTCTATTTTATGGCCTATTATAGACCCCATCTTAGTCACTTTTGGGCAAATATGTAATCTTTGCCATCCCAACTTAGTCACTCTCTATTTTTTATGAATTAACCCATTTTTTAGATTCAATGAAGAACACTTTACTTTTCATCTGCAGTACAAACATTCTGGTATGTTTGCTAACAATAAACATGAAGAACTGTCTTTCCCCAAAAAAGCCGAAAATGTGCGACCCCATTCTAGTAACTCTATAGAAAATGCGACCCCATTACAGTCAATCCAGTCGTGAAAATTCGACGCCATCCAGCGGCACATCCCCTTAGCCCACCCAGGACTGCCATTCTCGAAAACAAAAGAACAAAGTTGACAAACAAAGCATGAATTGATCGTACGCAACTCATGCCCCTGTTTTTTTCAGAACTGCGAGGAATGCCTGTCAGAAAACTACTCGTAAGCACGTAGCCTGAAATGATAGTCATTTCGCGCATTCATTTCAGGCTAGTAAGTTCACATATATTTTTTTTAAGTTTACTTTTATTGTCAGCCTGCTGCGTTGGAAGTTCTTATACAAGGTAATTTTTTTCTGCATCAGTTTGACTCCACGGCAATTTTATTTTGAATCAGATTAAAACATTCTCTGTCAGTGACGCAAAATGCGGCCTATATTGAACACTGAATCCCCCACTCCACATACACACACAACTTTGCGGTTGAATCCAAATCCAGCAGTCCCCTCACTTGGCCCCGGTGATAATAATACAGATGAATAGCAGGGCAGCTACAGTTTTTTTGCTGTCACAACCTGTTTAAAGCATTATTAGGCAAGATGAATATTTGACTGGCAGTTATAGAACTAAAGAAGGAGACAAGGCAGGCAAGAATCACCCACCAGTGCATTGCCTTATCCACTTTGTGTTAACTCATGTCTGATGATCAATTACATTTAGTCATCTGAGAGTTCAATTGCTTGCATAGTCTGATATTATACGGGAGGGTGTTGGGAGAATTCAAGACAGTTATAAATACATGTATATACAGGTGTGCAGCTGTATATGCAAACTCTGAAACTGTTTAACATTATAGCTTTTAATAATATCAGGTTATGCAAGCATGGGAGAAAAGTTTGTTATGGCTTTCATAAAAAAACTCTTTATTGCAGGTGCTGATTGAAAGGGAAACTCTTACTAGCTCAGAAGTGTTTTCAAAAGATTGTGATGTCACAACTGTGTTTACCTGTCTAATGTACATGTATTACTTTCATGTGAATTCATGCACCTCTTGGTGTGCATACTTTCTTAGTTATTTTATTATTGAAAAAAACATCATACATGTGCAGCACAACTTTAGGAAGAACAAGAACAATTAATTAAAGACTTTGGCTTGGCATATTACAACTGCATCATGAACAAAGGTTACCAAATTGGTATTTTTTTTGGCAATTTGACTTATATCAACATTTTTTCTACTTGCCATGGCTACAGCTTAGAACGCATCTATTTTTTTATTCTTATTTTTTCATATTAATATGGTGTTCAAATTTTAACTCAGATGCACAGAGTATCACTTGGTATGAGCCTCCTCCAGTTACGACAATTTCAGACAGTCAGGAAGTACATACAAGCACAATACAGTTTTATGAAGGGTCTATCAAGGAGCAGCTGAACTGGAGGTTTAGTGCCACCCAGACAGTTCAATTTGTGACTTTAGAATTAGATGGTAATAATGTGGTGGCCAACATATTGCCATCAACTGAAGAAGTTGTTGTAAGCAAGGACTTCTCCTCTCGATTCAACATAACCTGGGCCACTGGACACATCACCCTGGTTATGTACAAAGTAACTACTTCTGATAAAGGAGTATTCAGCTGTCAGTTGAATGTTCCCGGAAATGCATGGAGAAGTAACATTCAAGTGGTTGTTTTAGGTGAGGTTATTGTTTTATTGTTATTATTATTATTATTATTATTATTATTATTATTATTATTATTATTATTATTATTCATGAGCTTATGCAATAGGACCGGAAAGAAAAGGAGATGGCAAACCTTTCTTCCAAACTTCACCGCCTTTAAACAGATATTTTTTTGTAAAAGACTGGAAAACATTAATTTAGTGAAGATCATGACAAAACATGCAAGAACAGCCCTGTCACATTTGTCAAACACAAGCATTTTGCTATCCTCCTCTTTATTATTTGTTGAATATCATACTGTTGAAAGTTTAAGGCCTTCATTTGTACTTACATGTAATGGTCCTAAGGCCATAATATATACATGTAACAGAGGTTTATAGAGGACAACTCTACTGTGTGCGGTGCTTGTGCAGGAACAAAATGGCAAGGTGGTAGGAATCTGCCAGCATTAATTTTTTTCATGGATGCAAAAATGAAGTGAACCCTATTCATATTATATTGAATTCTAGAAGCACTTCATATAAAGGACAAAGGACTCACTGAGCTTCTAAAGAGAATTGGGAGACAAAAAAATCAGTGATACTATCCCCCCCCCCTTAGAGTTTGAGCACTCACCCATGCACTTGCCAATGCAATCAAGTGTAAAAGCCCATTGGGTGAGTGGAAATTGTAGATTACCTGCCCAGTTTTTTGAGTGAAGTCTTCGCTGCTTCAGATAAATGCAATCTGCAAAATTTTGCACGTTTGTGACAAAATGTAATCTTAATCTAAAGATACCAGTGCTTTTAATAAACCATTTTACAGTTCTGGACTTTGTGCCCGAGCCTTTGCTTTGCTTTGCTTTGTTGTGGAAATTGTCCTTGACATATATGCGTTAGCATAAGAATAACTTGATTTACATAATAAAGCAGGAAGGTTTGTATGAAAAAACAAGGTCAACTCCAGCCTCGCTTCCATTCATAACTGTAAAATGGCCTATTACGCATTGCAGTAGCTCTTAGAAACCTGGCAAATCCACACAGTGTTTCCTTTGTAAATTCAAAATGGCTTCTGTTGAAGTACAGTGTAGTATTTCCATGAAGCACCAATTCACAACCACTATACTGCTCTCATTAAACAACAAACTGCCACGCTGTTACTTCTGATATTGGTTATCAAAACATAATTAGTAATGGTAACAGGACTGAGTGGAGTCCAATTCGGTCTGTAACCTAAGGAGTGATGAACAAAATCCATGGTCGTCCGATTGGTTTAATCACGAGTATGATTACAGACCGAATTAGATGACACTAAGTTCTATTACCAGTGAATCGTAACTTTGACATAATTTGTGATAATTATATTAGGCTCTTTTTTTAAAATCAAAACACAAGAAATTCCCAGATTTTTTTTTTGCTGGCAGTGAAAAAAAATCATGCCCTTTTTGCAGAAAACTGTTTCTTTGTACATGTACATCTCACCTTGAATAATTCTTGGTTTTCCTATAGTTCCACCTAGATTCTTCAATAATGTGAGTGGGGAACAGTTTGTCAAAGAGAGATCAAACTTGAACCTGTACTGTGGAGCATCTGGTGAACCAGCACCTAACATCACTTGGATCAGAGTGTTTAAGAATGGTAGTGAGAGTGAAGTGCTTCACACAGGGACTACATGGAATATTGTAAGCATCAACCAAACTGATGCTGGAAATTACAGCTGTATAGCTAATAATGGAGTGGGCAGTCCTGTAAACCATACTATCACAGTGAATGTTTTATGTAAGTATGGACTTACATGTACATTATACCTGACATATAAAAACATTTTTTTTATTAAAACAATTTAATTCAGGGTTGGGCGTATAAACCATTAGTATGTCCTTGAATGCAGGGCCTGTCTACCCTCTCCCCTTTAAACAAATACACTGGTCCATGGGTGGCACAGCCCAAAACGAACTTCACAATTCAAACAAAAATGTCACAGTTCACGGATTGACAAAAGAGAATTGGAATGAGTCAACTACAGTATATCTAATACTGTATAGTCCCAAAATGAAATAAATACAATTTATTCGTACCTTATCATTGTCTATTTATTTGTCCTGATTAATTTTCTGCTGAAGTTTCCAGCTGCACTCTTATGAGCTGGTGCTATAGTCTTAGTTCATAATTAATGGACGAAATGTAGACAAATCCTGAAAATCAACACGTTATAAGACAAAGCGCATATACCATTAGCTGAAGGTTACCTTGTTGGTCCTGGCAGGTTTTACATTTTGTAGCATTTTGTCGAGTTTTGCACGCGGAAGTTCATGTAGAGTTTTAGTGTAGTATTCGAATGCAAAACTTGGCAAATTGCCTTTATTAAGCTAACTAGAAGTGACAAAGAGACCTTTCAGCTTAAAGGTACCATGTATGTGTCCATTCTTTTGTACTATTTTGACCTTTTAAGGCTCTGTTTATTTATTGGATGAGGTTTTTGTCATATCTAGAATAATCAAGGTCGAGGTAAGTGTTTTCAGCTGAGCTGAAGGCCGAGGCTGATAATATTTACTGAGACCTTGATTATGTAGGATATCACAAAAATCGAATCTAATAGTTGTTTTATTATACATTGTTTTAAAGAAAATAATGACAAACACACCGTCGCAAGAAACCTGAATTGATATTGTCATTGGAAATCATGCATTGCACGCGCAACCTACAGATAAGTCAGTTATCTGCTAGCAGATAACTAAGTTGTGGTGATTTCCAAAATTAGCTGTAGGCTTTTAGCCAATGAGAAGACAGATAGTGAGTACAATGTATAATAATACAAAAATTAATAATTCTAGATGCAGCGGCTTGTAAAAGTGTTTAGTTTTCTGAGAAACAGAGGGAATGTCAGTAAAAAAATTGACCACGGCAAATTACATGTAAATGAACAGTGATACAACGTAGTGTATATTGCTGAAAGAAAATAATTATCTATATTTTCCTTAGAGTGTGTAAAAGTAAGGTTTATGGTGTATCTGACCTTGATTACTTCTTTAGTTGTCTCATTATTTCACTTTTCACTTACTGTATCAGGGATTGGGGTGTTGTGTTTTATACCAAATACCTTAGTTAAATTGATAGGCCATTGAGAAGGGGCTTTCGATTTGGGTTTATTCAACATGAAATATCGATCCAACAGGTTACTAAAGACACCGATTCGAGGCTCTGAAAAAGTACTATGGGTACTCCCTCGCATCCCCTGCAGGATCTTCTCCCCCCTACTTAATGTACGCAGTAGGTCGCATCCTTACGAGGTCCCATGTGTTAATACTGAGAGGTTGAAGAAATGCTTTGTAATACATGTCCTTATAGAATTAGTTTTGTTGAAGATCAAAGCATTTTCCCCTTGGTTCGTACAAACGCTCTCAAACGTTGTCCGCGGCTTATATACCTGCCAAGTGTCACGCTTGCTGGCATCGAAAACTTCGATCTAACACCTACTCACGCCTGGTAAAAATGTTGGAGCTATTACAACATGAACTGTCTCGTTTTGAAAAATGTATTAACTATTCAAAGAAACTGGAACCAATTTGAGGAAAGAAAAGTCCATGTCACTCATCATGTGAATGATCGACTTTCTCCGAATTATCTTATTTTAGTAGGGAAACTCACTGGAGACGACGTGTTAGACGGAACTCTTTGGAGTATCTTCGGAACGTCTTTGGAAGTCTTCAGAACGTCTTCGGAGATCTTCAGATATTATCGGAACCCTACGAAAACTCCTGGCACTCTCAGGATAAAAATGTCACGCCTATGAATTAAAAAAAGTTGGCGGGTATTGGCTTGCTAAAGCCGTGAACGATTGCTGAGCATTCTCTGTTTTCAATTATACCCCAGACCTTTATTGCCCAGAGACGCGCGCTGCAGTGGTGGGAAAATTTCGTCCATCGCAGGAACATCTCGATCAAACCACTCGACTGATTGCTGACAAACGTTTCGTCCAGGTTTTCGCCGCACAAGTATCGCAACATCCCAATACCTGACTGACCTGTTAATTTGAAACGCAAAAGACGTTTCGCATTTTTGCTCGCTCGATCCATTGTTGCAAATTGCGTGAGGTATCAAAACAAACTACGTCATCATTCGACATGTCTTGCCGCGAACTAAGTCGTGAACTATTTATACGAGAGTTCGTGTCTCTTGTAAGCCGTACTCGTATAAATCAGGTTCCTTTCGCGTCTTATGTTGCCCGCAGCCAGAGAAAGCCGCGGATTATTTTCTCTCCTATAAACGGCCCAATTAAGTGGTGCCAGCGAAATGAAAACTGGGTATAAACTCCAACTTAAATGAAGAACGTAAAAACACCAAAATAATTGTTTTTACTAGTATCAATAAAAGGTGAATGATGTTCTATGATAGGTAAGGTATTAAAATTATTAAAACCCACTTGTGAATAGCTGCGAATACCCCCCCCCCCCCCCAGAATACCCCCCCCCCCCCCTTTTTTTGCAATTTTTACAATCGAATTAGGTTTACTTCAAGCGTGGACTTTGAATTTTTGTTGTAAGCATCACGGCAATTGAGTTTTAAAAGCCGTCTCTTGCCTTCTTCACAGAAAGATTTCCGCAGGTTTGTGTTTTGAATCTGAATGATCAAGGTTAGATCTTTCCTGGAAAAGGTATTTTATGCCTAGTTTGTTTGCTACTTTTGAGATTTTTACATTTTATTTTAGCCTGTTTTCGCGTTTCATTAACCGGCGGCTTGGTAGGATGTCTTCGAGTGCTCCTAGTTGATTTATTCTTTATCGAACAATTATGATATGTGGATGTTCAGTAGTTCAAAGGTACCTGAATGCGGTGGTGTTATTCCTTTTCAGCCGGTACTGTATGAAAAGTCGCTATTTTCGACCTATGAATCGGTCCAAATTCTGCCCTAGGATGGAAAAAGTCGTTTTGGCTTGTAGCAAAAAAGAAAAGTAAGAAATCGAACAAACTAGCCCGGCTTTATTACACGTATACCAAATACTTTTTGTCCGCAGAATATAAAGACAAACTTTTTCCGACCCGAAAGTCATCAGACCGGTCTTAGAGACACTGTCACTTAATAACACATGTAAGAAATGTGGTATTACCGTCAGTCAATGGGACAGTAAAATAATTATCGTATAAGACTAGTCTTCTACTGCGGTCAAACGAGAGAAATCTGTAAAAGCTAAGCAAAGCACTTCGAAGCTCAAGTTATCACTTACTTTGTTCAAAGTTTAATATTATTGCTAATTTGCCAAACTTTTTGAATGTTTACTTAAAACGTTCCAAGTGTTTGAAAACTGAAATTTACGTTACTTATTGTGACTTAGTTATTTGTCGACCGAGATTTACAAATGTACTTGAGCTTGAAGAATTTTCGATGAAAATAATAAGCTCATTAAATTATTGGAGAAAGTGCAGGTAGTTAAATTAACGTATTCTTTTGGAGATTCTTACTCATGTCTCATGAATGAAATCGCACTTAAAATAAAGCAAAACAGGCGCTTCGGACGTTTCACCGTGATGGAGACTAGTCTTACTAAAAAAACTGCGCGTGCACCGTATCATATCACGCGTGTCGGTATAAAGTCTCTCGGGGAAGGTGGGATACACGTAGAAAATATTCAAGGTGAAGATGAACAGGTATTGATGTTTATGTGGTTATTATTTTAGTTCCTTCCAAGATTGTTAATTTTGTACAAGAGTACAGAGTTGCTATGCAACAAAGTTTTGCTCTTCACTGTCAAGCTGAAGGGTTTCCTGAACCAACATTTACATGGAGTCCATGCTATAACGACTGCAATACTGGCACCTTGACTATTCCTGAGGTCTTAAATGACACTGTTTATACTTGCACAGCGACAAATAGTGAAGGCAGTGATTCAGCAGATGCCAATGTTGGTAAGTTGCCTCTCAACAGATGAATACTGGTTAGCTCCATGTATTAAGCATGGGTTAAAGCTGCCCTAATGCTACCGTAATGACACGCTGAAAGTTAGCGTAAACGTGCATAAAGTTTTGCCCTAGAACTTACGGAACTAAAGAAATCAGATAAAGACGAGTAAATTTCATATTTCGTACTTTGTATATTCAAATTGAACAGGTAGAGAGTTTTTTTGGCTTTATTTTCCTTTGTTTAATTCCTATTAAGTAGCGAGAGATCATTGTCGTACACTATAGTAGCGGGGGAGTTGCGATGCAGGAAAGGAATAAAGATAGGAGTTTATCCTTCACATGAACCGGCCGGTGTAGCAAGGCCTCACAGGACTTGCTGGTTGGGAAAACAATGAAAGGGCAAAATTGAGATTGGAAAATAACCCCCAAACAAAAGAGCTCCGACGTATAGGTGTCCAAAGAAAATAAGAAGGCTTAAAGAGGTGCTAGGCTACTGGCAGTACATTGTGATCATAATTCTAGAATGAATTACCATAATAGTACACACCGTATGTGCTGCCTCAAGTACTATAAGAATGGGGAATGTATCCTCTTGTGTTTAGTTCTAACAATCGTCTTCAATTTAACTACATCGTTCTTTTAGAGTGTGTCAGTCAGACACCTTCGTGTCGACTATTTTCGTTCTTAAATGTTTTTAGAAACAGGAATGAGCACTATACTTTTTAAAGCGGCAGTATCACAGAAATTTTCTCACGTTTATGTGGAAATAATCCTACTCGTATGCTAGAATTGTAAGATAAACACCCTCATATTTTTTTAACTAAAAGAGGCGACCTTGAGAATATATCCATGCATTTTCCCTCATTTTCCTTCGTCCACTTAAGTCCAGGATTGAACACTGGGCAAAAAAGATTTAAAGGAAACTGCTTTCAGAAATGTGTAGAAAGAATAGCAAATATAGCAAGAGTAACAAACTCAAGGATCGCAAGCTGTAGCAAAAATTTTCTAGCGAATTTTTCTCGCAATTTTAGCAAAAACGTGTTAGAAATTGCTTGCAGAAATCTAAAGAAGTCTGCAAAAATCGCGAAAGTAACAGGACATTTCATTGCAACAAAGAAAACACCCTTATAAATATCGCAAGAATAATAAAGTAAGCAAAAGTTCAGAGTTATAAAGAAAAAGGTAAAAAAGGCCCTATAGAAGTCAGCGATTTTTGCGAAATTTACGGACTTCTCGAGGGCCTTCTTCTTCTAGTTATTCTTGCTATTCTTGCGATATTTGTTACCCAGTCGTTTTAGATTACAAGGAAATTTCTAGTTACTTTTGCGATTTTTGCGAAATTTGTGGAGTTCTCGAGGCCCTTCTTTACCTCTCTCTTTATAAGTGTAGAATTTCGTTAAATTTGTTATTCTTGCTTTTTTTGCGATATTTGCAAGTGTCTCACCACAGGCGGCCCAAACTCACGTTGCGAGGGAAGGGTGTAATGTAATTTACATAACATAGGTGACGCGCCGGTGTCGCGTTACAGGCGACCGTTGAAAATATAAGAGACTTTGTATGAGAAATATATTACTGAGATCTGCGCACGCTAAATAACGCAAAACCTTACTTTTTCTTAAATGAATTGAATAAAAAAGACTTACCTGCACTGTATTCCACTGCGTTTTGGTGTATGTTTGTCGTTTTAATGTTTTTTTTGGCTTTATTGCGTAACCACTGTTACTCCTTTCACAGTAACAGTGGTTACGCAATAAAGCCAAAAAAACAGTAAAACGACAAACAGACACTAAAACGCAGTGGAATACAGTGCAGGTAAGTCTTTTTTATTCAATTCATTTGAGAAAAAGTAAGGTTCTGCGTTATTTAGCGCGCGCAGATCTCAGTAATGTATTTCTCATACAAAGTCTCAAGTATTTTCAACGGTCGCCTGTAACGCGACACCGGCGCGTCACCTATGTTATGTAAATTACATTTCACCCTTCCCTCGCAACGTGAGTTTGGGTCGCCTGTGGTCTCACAAAATCATTTTTTGTTAAATTTTGTGAAAAAATTGGCTAACAAATTTTTGCAACAGTGTTCAATCCTGGACATATCTGCCTTCATGTACACTTCCGTCGTACGTGTGTTAAACTCTAATTTAAAATTAAAATCATAGTCAGTCCCATTTAATGAAGTTAAATTCATAGTTCAGATAATATCGTTGTTCAATATATTGGCGGACAGTAAGCTTATTGTAGACACACCGTCACTTAATAAAAAGTTTTTTTCCCACATTTTTAGATAAAAATGTAATTAATTTTCTGTAAACAAAATATAAATATAAATATAAATGTTTTGTTGAACAGTCATTGCAGGCAAAGAGATAAACATTACAATGGTCATCGAAGTTGGAGACTGCTCTGACGAACGATACAGTAAATCTTCATTGTCAACGGAACTTTCTGTTACGGTAAAGTTACAACTTTTACTGTGGTGTCAATATGGGTTTGCTAGTAGGATTTAGTCAGGGTAAGAGGCTTTTTAAGGCCTACTACTCTGATCGAATTTTTCTCCCTCACATACTCCCGCCATTCAGAACACTATTTCCGACAGATGCAATACGGGACTTGTTCACTGTGCTATGTTAAAAGGAACTAGAGGATATTATATGGCCGCGCGGAAATGCGAAATTTATCTTCAAGGTGTGAAAAATATTAAATACGAGTGAGCGCAGTAAAATTGGAAACCCATTGTTTAATTGCTCTCAGATTACCACTGGCCATGTGCGCGTAAAAGGCACCGAATTTCCTTCCAAAATGGTTTCTCATCTCCATTCTAAATGGGACAACCCGGGCGAATATTTCAGTAGATATCAATTCGAACGAATGGCGAAAGAAAAGCATCGAACAAATCTGACAGTTTAGAAACGGTACAGGACTTTTGAAGAGGGCTCAGACCGAGGAAACTGCTTTTGTATTTGAAATAACGGACAAGCAAGCCCAGAAAGGGGAGCGCGAATTCTGCGAAGGAAGGGACTATTCATATCATGTTTACTTGACCCTGCTAAGGTGGGTGCCGCTACATTGTTTCATCTTAACATGTACAATGGCAGTAACTGCAAATCAACGCTGGGATTTAAGGTGCCCCGGACCCCCTACTGGCACCATCTTTTCGTTCCATGTAAAAACCGGCCCTTAGTTTAGCCTGTGTAGCGAGCATTTCTGCGCGGCATGCAACATACCGCTGAAATGCTTGCTACACAGGCTAAACTAAGGGCCTGTTTACATGAACTATAATTTCAATACATTAATTTTCTTAATTCTGTTAATTTCTAGATGAGGGGCGTGTTTGCTAATGAAAGTAACTACCTCAGCACCACTGTAAATAATGTCAGGTAATCAGTTTACTGTATTTCTTTTTTTTTCCATCGAACAGCATACTATTCGCGACAGTCCCTTTCACGCTCGCTGAATAAGATCTTGAGGTAAGCGACCGCGCCAAAAAGTTAAACGTTTAATAGCAGAGCCCCATAGCTAAGTAAATCTGCCCATCCCAGAAAATTTGGTAATGACGTGACCGTACACCGCTGTCCGTCCGCACCACAGGGCAACCAATGTTCGATCTTACACTTTCTAGCTAGTTTGGCAGCACAGGATATTGCACACATATTGCCCATCAGTGTTGTGATTAATTAACAGCTGTCAAAACAGGGTATCCGCTGACCAGTATCACCTGACAGTATCGCGGGCTCAGGTGTCGACCCATCGAGGTCGAGTATTTTTTGAAGTTATCCGCTGACAAGTAAATAGTTTTAAAATGATCGCAGGCGTTTTTTAAATTCATATGGAATATGTTGTGTTTATGTGCCACGCAATTAAAATTTTGACTTCAAACGGACCTCGGACGCGAAAATTCAGCCAGCTATTACAGGCAGGGAAGACAGTTGCTTTTGACGTTTCTCACCATGGTCACGCGTTGGTCACACTCTATGTCCAATTTTTATGTTCTGATTGCTCAAAATTTGACAGGTGAGCTCATGAGGAAATTTTATGCAGCATCTTGAAACTTGTTTACTTTGACAACTGAAGCTGAGAGAGTTTTGTGTCAACTTGTAATGTTTTTAACTGTCTTTTTCTACTGGATGTACAAAATGAAATTCAGCTGCTATCAAAAGTCCTCTGTTATTCATGACTAGTTTGTTTATTGGGTTTTTGGTTGAGAAATACGTCGTTTGTCAAAGTCGGAAATCCGATTTCGGATGGCATCGTTTTCGTTTTTCACCTTGCTTGATGCGTATAAAGAGGGTTGGAAAGTCTGAAGCGATTCTGGCCTTACTTGAGAGGCGTCCAGGATCTGCATCTGGAATGGTGAGTCTGAGAAATTATTGTATTTGATGTTTGTTTTTTATATCTAATTTAATGAAGTCGAGCGTA